TTTGAATTAGTGTATTCCATATCAAAGGACCAAATTTGATAAAAGACAGATACGTTTGAATAGTAGAGTCTGGTACTGGAAGATTAAATAAGGAGTTAAGAATGAATTAAATACATTAATACTGAGCTAATTTCGACCGGAAAGAGTGTATATGATTAGAAGAACTGTTGCGGACTGACAAGGTTGAGTGATGAAGAATGTAGTTAAAAGATTAAAGATGATGTCAGGATAAGATAACAAAGTATGGTGTAAATTTGTAAATGGTTATGTATTTGATTATATAAATGTGATGTAGTGAAAGTGATATGGATTAATATGTTTGAAGGAAGTTAAGGATATATGTATTGTGATGCGAACAAGGACTTTACAAAGAATAAGATTTGTGAAAAGAGTGTTAATTATCAAAGTTATGAAGAGGTGATAAAGATCAGTAATAAGAGAGATGAGCATAAGTGATAGAAAAAGAGCATGGAATAAGGAAACGAAAGGATGAAGTTTAAAGAATCATATGTGATAAAGGTTATGTTTCTTGGTTAAGCATATTTAGTTAGAGAAATAAAAAATAATTTATATGTATTAAAGAAGTTGGTTATTACTGCAAGACAATTAAATATTGATAAGAAATTTGATTAATTAATGATTTTGAGTGTTAAGAACTGATACTACTGGTTATATGATAAGTGACATGATAAGGATGTATAAATGAAAAAAGTAGTTGAAGAACGAAAGGAATGAAATATTAAGTAAAGGAAACAACATAAGAGCATTAGAAGATGTGTTCTTATTGTGTGTGCAGTGAAAATTCGAGGATGAATTTTCTTTAAAGGATGAGAGATTTGTAACATCCCAAAAGTCAGGTCAATGACCAAAATAAAATTTTGGTAAATTTAGTGATCAATTTCAGAAAAGATGGAAAGTTCAGGGATTTAAATGAAAAGTGTTGATGTTGGATTTAATAACAAAGTTTGAAAGTAATAAGGGTATTATGGTCATTTTTAAGGGAAGATTTTTATTTTCCCTTTATAAAGGGTAATAAGCACGTGGGAAATGAGATAATTTCTCCAGAGCCTTCTTCAGTCTTCTTCTTTCTCCTCTCCACCGTGGAGTCTTGTATAAGATATAGAATGTAATCTTGTTCTGGAACAATCCAAATATTAGGATCGAGTCAAAGCAAGCAAGGCTAAGGTGAGTGCGTATTAGTCGATATATTATAATGAATGGAAATAAGACTTGTGACAAGTCTATTTCCTATATTAACATACATATAAGCATGTTATTGATATGAGCATAATTGTGATATATTATTGTATATGTGGTATGATATGTGTGAATGTATGTTATTGTTATGTGATCAAGATATCAATTATGTGATAATGAATGGTATAGATATATGGAAGGTGAAGTAAGCTAAAGTATGTGGACAATATGTATATAAGATAAGCCATATGAATATGATTTATGAAAGTATGAGTGATATGATAAGAATATATGTTTATATGATATGGCTATGTGAATATATGGTAAACATAATAATGATGCCCATGTTATGTGTCTTGAGAGCTAGAGGTATAGTTGGCATGCCAAGAGTTGAGGGTTCTACGTGGTTCTTCGGGAAATATATGTAATTCTTTGGAACATATATGTGGTACTTCGATACACTTATTTGGTCCATTGTATTATGTGTATGGTTCTTAAGGATTGGTCCTTCGGGACAAATATACAGTGCCCTTAGTGGGAATTTATTCGAGCTGTGGTGACAGCATCAGTGCACAACCTCAATGAACTCACATATCTTTAGTTCTCCAATATGTACATGGACTAATAAAGAAATAATATACATAAACTTAACATGATTGTCATATGTGATTGAACATTTGGATGTGAATGTATGAGTTTCATTTATTGCATATATGATATGTTCTATGTGAAATATGTTGATATGATATATGGAATATAAGTGAATATAATATAATTATATGATATGTTAGAGATAATTTCATGAGAAATCTAGTGAACGCTATATATATATATTATACATCGATAAGGAAGTGGTGAACTATATGATTAATGAAAATTGAGACCAAGCAGATAGTATATTAATTAAGGAAAAGGTATATAGATAAGTATAAAAGGATATTAGATAAGTAGTGCAGGAAGATATATAAGTTTAAAATAGAACTGTGAACTAACCTTGCTAAATTAGTAAGGGATATGAAATTTAGTATAAGAATCTAAGAAATCATATGAGAATATTAGAGGAATCAAATAACAATATGTTATGCAAATGTATGTTTATTAAATGAAGATTTGGTGAGGAATGAATTAAGAGAATATAAGAAATTAGGATATTATAATATGTAACGAGAATTTATGGGTGAAATGTTAAATAGAAACATATAGAAATGAGAGATAAGATATGTATGATTGCGATCAAAATTACAGGATTAAGAATAGGGTAAGTAAACGACTTAAATGAAGATAGTAGAATGTGATATAAGCTAAGTAGTATAAAGTAAATGATTATAAGAATATGAAATAGTAAAACTCATATGTGATATTATAAGGTTTGTGTATGTATGTATTCATTTTATGAAGTGTACATGAAGATGTATGTTATAATAACATTAATTATTCATATGCATTGTTAGAAGTTTAGTTTATATTATATGTTTTATAAGCCTCACTAAGTCATAGACTTAGCGTGTGATTGTTTCACACGTAGGTTATAGAAGCGAGTAGAGAAACTAAGAGGAGCAAGACATGTCAGCATCTTCTTTACGAATATCGGATCAGAAATATATTAAATATATGCATTTTGTTTTATAGAATGTAGTTGGCATGTACTATAAAGATTTGTATAGTATAAGCTCTGATATGTTTTGTAAAACCCATTTATGTCAATTAATGATAAAATATTCATTTTATCGAATAGTGAGTTGGATTTTTATCCACCTGTAAAGGAAAATATTTTGACAAGTCAATATGACACCTAGGGTTCGAATTCGGGTAAGATACGAGTTGAGGGTGTTATATAACTACACTATTCAAATCAAATAAGATCACTTTAATTCATCCTAATATCCAATTTCCTACATACACACTTGAATTCAATAATCATACCAACTTATCAACATGTTCCAAATTCAGTTATAACACTTTGAATTTCTTATTTCAGTTCATGACAAGTCAAATTCAACTTAAAAATCCATTTACACATTCTTTTTCAATAATTCACTTAAAAACTCATTTTACTTAATCTCTCATAACTCATCAATCTTTGAGTTTTAAGTCACCTTAAGCATTATTTAAGCTTATGTATCAGCCAAAGACTAAAACCCAAATTTAAAAATCAAGGAATAACCAACTTACCAAGAACTCACCTTGAAATAGAGCTCACAGGAAGAGAAGAAAATAACCAGGTTCCAGATTCTCTTTTTCCTTTTCTCCCATTTCCACGTGTTTAATATCCTTTATAAAGGGAAGATAAAAATCATTCATTTGAAAAAACCAATTTACCCTCACTTCATTCAATATTTACTAAACTATCATTCACAAAATATTACCAATTAAATCCCTAAATTTTTCATTTTTTCTCAAATTGATCACCAAATTTTAAAAACTTTCATTTCAATCACTAGCCCGATTTTTGGGATGTTACAGAAATAGAGTCTATATGGTGTTGATGTTGATTCGTTTCTATTGGCGAATATGAAAATATATGTAATATCAGTATATCATATTATAAGTTTTTTTTCCTTTCATACTGCATTGCATCACTGTATTTGTATCGAATTTCAGCTTCTTCATGTATATATAGTTGTTTAGATTTAATTACTATGCGCTGATAGTTGACAGAACTAAACCATATAAACTTTTTTAAAACCAATCATTTTAGGTTTGAATGAGTTAGAGTTCATTTTGTTTTAAAATAATGTATTTTTAGATTCATTAATCAAGTTTTTCAAATTGTTAATACAAATTATAATAAATAATTTAATTTATATAAATTTATATTTTAATTTAATAAAAAATTACACATGAATTATCTTATATAATTTACAAAACACTTAATAAAATAAAGATAATATATATAGAATATAGTTTATTAAAATTTTATAAATTAAAATTTTCAATCAAACAAAGAAGTTCAATCAATCAAATATAAATTAAATTATTGTCCTTATATTATAAACATATTATGATATACATTTTGTTCTTATTTCCAGGTAATATAATGTCAAATTTATTATTATAGTTTATTTTGAAAGGTGCTTGAAGAATTTCAGATTATGTCTACGGTATTTGAGGTATTTTTTAATGAAACAAAAGCTATTTTCATATTTTAGAGGTAAAAGGAAAATGAGTTGGATCTTTTTGGATCTAAAGTTCCTCGACGGCGACGGTGAGCAGTGATAAAACTTAATAGTGATAAAAATTGTGGTGAGCGGTAGAGGATTCTGTCCGTATTAATAGATCAAATTTATATTTTATCTAAAATTTAAGGATTAAATTAATATTTTATCTAAATTTCAAGATCAAATTAATATTCTATCTAAAATTTAGGAGATATATTAAAATTTGTATATTTTATTAACATTTCATTTCATCAAACTAACTAGTGTTAACATCTCAATTATATAAAAAAAATATAGGTAGAAAACAAAAATGATAATAATTTAACTTTTGCAAAACCTATGACTAAACTAAGACATACCTAAAACAGAAGGGACAACCTGTGTATTTTACCTAGAATTTAAGGGAAAATAAACCGTGACCGAAAGAGTAATTTTACAGGTTATCGTGTCCGCTCCTTGCACAATGTGGGCCCCACAATTTACACTGCTCAACCAACGTCCATAGTATTATGTATTGTCACGCGTTAATTTTACGCGTAGTTCAAACGGTCCAATAAATAAGTGGAAGCTGTTGAGGTGAAAACGAGGGGAAGGGGTGGAGCGTGGGAAAGTTGAGGTTTTCAAAACGTACAATTCAAAGAACCTCTCCATCGCTTTTCTGTTTTCGGGGAGGATTGATTATGATATATCCTACGCACAGCGTTTAGTCCCGTAATTGAAATTCAAAAACACCAATTTATCATTTGGTTTTGGTGTCTGTCGCCGGCACTCGGCAGAGAAACAAATAGCAAAAAAAGAAAAAGGAAGAAGAAAACACAAACCCTTCACCTCTGATTCTAGATCTGGATAGATCGATTCATTGATAGGAAAAACAATTCAAGAACAAGTAAAAATAAAATGTCGGAAGAAGAAAAACTACTGAAGGAGGCAAAGAAATTGTCATGGGAAGACCGGTTGCTGCACAAGAATTGGAAGGTGAGGAATGAGGCTAACATCGATTTAGCTTCTCTCTGCGATTCCATCACGGATCCGAAGGACCCGAGGCTTCGGGAAATAGGTAAGTTTTTCTTTTTTAAAATTTTTCTTAGATTTTTTTAAATTAACGCCTCAGATCTGGTTTCCTCAATTAATTGGCGGATCTCTGTGATTTTCAAATGTACAGCTCCGTTTTTCAGAAAGACAGTGGCGGATTCGAATGCTCCGGTACAGGAGAAGGCGTTGGATGCTTTGATTGCCTTCTTAAAAGCGGCCGACTCAGATGCCGGAAGGTGATGTCGTTTTAACTTTAAAACTTATTTGGAAAAATATTTTTTTGAATCTTCAGTTTGTGAGGTTGCCTCCGGTTTTTTTACCTCGAGTGTGCTCGATGTTAGGTATGCCAAGGAAGTATGTGATGCCATCGTGGCGAAATGTCTCACGGGCAGGCCTAAGACTGTCGAGAAGGCCCAGGCGGCTTTCATGCTCTGGGTAGAGTTGGAGGCTGTTGATGTTTTTCTGGTATGTCTGATAATTTATTAGAACAATTCTTATTCTTAAGCTATTTATGATCCAAATTAAAGTTTGACTAATGTTGTTGAAGTGGGTAGTAGGGAAAAATGTAAACAGTTTTGAAATAAGAAGACCACTACTTTTATTTAGTAAAAGGGAACTGTTTGCACACATTTGAGTGTGCCCATTCCCTATCCTTCAAAAAAAAGTGTGCCCATTCCCTCTCCCCTTCTTTTACCCCTTCCTTTACTTTGTTACACAGGCTATTATTATTCCATACTTATGTACATTGTTAATCTTATTACATGGGTGTAGGTTTATTAAATAGAATATTAGATATATTTAACTTCTCTATCAATCCATCCATCTATTTCATATATCTGAACAACTTTTATTGTTTATTCCATTTCATTTATGTTGTTTTATATCTCTTACATTCTATAGGTAATTTATAGAAGACAGGAGCTCTAAAGAAATATCTCAAATAAAAAAAAAAGAAAGAATATTGTTTTGGTTTCATTTATGAGAAGGGTTCTTACCTACATTTTGCTTTATCTCATTTTTCTTTAGTTTTTTTAATGGCATTGTCTATCTGGTATATTTTTACTTAGGAGAGGGATTTAAGCTATTTTGTATAGGGATGCTGAGATGGCTCTTTAATTATAGAGCTGTGCCCAATGCTTACTTTTTCCTGTATTGGGGGCCAAATATAGTTACAAGTCATTTTCTTGGTGGAGAAAATGTTTCAGATCTCTTTATTTGGGATCACTAAACTCATTTTTACCTTTCTAAGGCTTTATGCATCTCTTTTTTTTACTGCAATAAGTTTTTCCTTTTATATAGTGAAAATGTGTTCTGATACCAAGTTTTTGAGGCTTTATGCATCTCATTTTTGAGGCTTTATGCATTTCCTTTATGTGTTATGGGGTAACTTTAGGATTCAATGGAGAAGGCCATAAAGAATAAAGTTGCCAAAGCAGTGGTGCCTGCAATTGATGTCATGTTTCAGGCACTAAGGTTTGTGTTCAAGAGCCCCTTGACATGAACTATGAATTAATTCTATTGTTTGCTCCCTACAACTGCTTATGGTCTGTTTGTATTTAGTGAATTTGGAGCCAAAGTTGTCCCACCTAAAAGAATTCTAAAGATGCTTCCTGAACTCTTTGACCATCAAGATCAAAATGTTCGTGCATCCTCCAAAGGGCTCACTCTTGAGCTTTGTCGTTGGATTGGAAAGGATCCTGTAAAGTCAATATTGTTTGAGAAGATGCGTGACACTATGGTAAAATATTTTTAAAATTAGTCTGTTCTAGACATGCCTTTTAATATTTATATTGAAATAAAAAATATATTTTTTTTGGTTCGGTTGCTTGAAGAAAAAAGAGCTTGAGGCTGAGCTTGTGAATGTGACTGGGACAGCTAAGCCATCACGGAAGATAAGGTAAATTCCTTCATCTTTAGCAGTGTAATTATGTACTGTTCTGTTTATGGATATATTTAAAGCTATTCTACGTTAAATCTATGCTTTTATTTAGGTAAGTATTGTGGTTTCATTTCTTTGGGCATGTATTTGAGGACAGCTGTTGGTGTACTATGGTAGGGTAAAAGAATCGAGTACTTTGAAGGAGTTGTGTATTTTTTTCTTTTAAATCTTGAAGTTGATAGAGCAATCTTAACTCTGGTTTCTACATGCTCAAAAGCTTATGACAATCAGAAGGAAGACAACACTTGAAACCCAATTTGATCATTTTGGGTTGTCAATAAGGGTTTAAACCATTAAACGACTTTGGTATAAGTTCAGAGTTCTAAAGATTACTGTCAGGGATTAGTGAAATTATTTTCTTTTATACATTCAAATAACTAATTGAATTATTTATTTGTTGTTTTACATTACTATTCTTTTCAGTCATGAATGTCATGTAAATGTATTAGCAAATTCAATTAAGAGCATATTAGGATGTATTTGTGATGTTTCGTGTCTTCTGTGTGTTAGAGTTGATGATTGCATGTCCCTATTCACTACATCAATTATATTTTCATTTTTCCCTTGGGATTATATGTCTTGACAATTTATGATTTTATACTTCAATTTGCAATGTTTAGGCCAGGTTTGTATTTGTGATATCTTATTCCCTTCATTTTGTTTTTTAGATCTGAGCAAGACAAGGAACCGGAACCTGAAACTGTTTCTGAAGCTGCTGGCACTGGTGCTGTTGAAGAATATGAAGCTGATAGTATGTATTTCATTGTGAATTTTGGATTGTACAATTTTCTTACATTTTGTAATAAAGCTAATCTTGTACTTTTGGTTTGTATATTGTACTGGTAGCTCCTGTGGAAATAGATGAATATGAGCTTGTTGATCCAGTTGATATATTAACTCCTCTGGAGAAGTCTGGATTTTGGGATGGAGTGGTTAGTACTGTTCCCATACTATTTATTTTGAGTAACTGCAACTCTTCCTTTTTATAGTAATTATTTTGAAATTGGGTTTTGAAGCTGCTTACTATCTCTTCCTTTATAAACACCATCTGTCTTGTAGAAAGCTACCAAGTGGTCAGAAAGAAAGGAGGCTGTTGCTGAACTCACAAAGCTTGCATCGACAAAAAAGATAGCTCATGGTGATTTTTCGGAAGTTTGCCGGACTTTGAAGAAGGTTTACAATTTTCTCCTTTGTGATAAAAGGATTGCAGTAGTATCTTGTATTGGGGCAATATAATTTTGTTTCAACCAGAACAGGGATGAAAGTTGTCTTGATGTTCCTACTGCATGAAAGTTATTATATTCACTACCTTCCAATCGAATGCTCTTGTGTCTGCCCCTCTTTTAACATGCAAGCTTGGGTGTTATAATGCATCTTTCACTCGTAGGAGGGTGACATATGTCAACACGAGTCACACTGTTTTTACTACTTACTATATGTGTCCTGTTGCTTTCTCTGTTTGCATCTAAGTGTTTCTTTGATCTTTCTACCTTATTTGGAACCTGAAACCAAGATTCAATTGCGCTTTTCTTGATGACTTGTGTAACTGCTATTTGTGTCCGTTGAGGCATTTTTGAGTACAAGGTTAAGTCGGTAATAATGAATACATAGCATGTGTTATGTTTTTGGTTATTGGATTAGTTTCTGCTTTGTTAGCTTCGCTTGTCATACTGTCCTTTAAGTTTTAACCTTTATGTCTGTTCAGCCTTTGGTATCATGATTTGCCTAAGTTGTCTTTCTGCTTGCAGCTTGTTACAGATGTAAACATTGCTGTTGCAGTTGAATCCATCCAAGCTATTGGGAATCTTGCTCAGGGTTTGCGAACTCATTTTTCTGGTAGTTCGCGCTTTTTGTTGCCGGTTTTACTTGTAAGTGCCATATAACTTACGTAATCATGAAAGCATTTAATTGCATGTTATGTTCGTTTTCCCTTTTGCTAACTGTGCCTTCGTTTATAATTTTTGAACCTTCATTTTTATTTATAATCAAGACTTTTGGTTGTGGAATTATACTTGAGGTAAAACTGAAGTACCATGTTTGTTTGGTTGACATACACCCTTTAATTGAAAAGAATAGTTTTTTTGGAAGCTAAAGTTAATGGTCATCGTTTACCTATTGAAAAATAGAATGCTGAAAACTTAAGTGCATAAAATTGTCTAGAGAACTAATTTTTTTCTTCTTTTTTTTTTTGGTATGAAAGATGATTTTATTGAGATCTTACATTGACAAATTGAGATGGAAAGACTAAATAGTTTAAAATAATGAATATAAGATTAATGTAGTTAATTGATGAAAATAACCCAATAAATTAGGGAGGTTTAATTACTTTAACATTTTCATTAATGAAAATATTTTAATTAATAATCGCGGAAACAATAACCAACATTACATAAATACTTTTGTACAGTTTTCAATTGTTTGTCACAATGCTCCTTAGTCCTCTGCCATTTCTTTCACATTGGTTTGGTTGGAGCCTTGTTGTGAACGTTACCTTGCTATTAGCTTGTTATAACTTATTGGGTATATTATTTTTGCCATGTAAGAAGTAAAGTGATGCGACTTGCGAGTAATGATGTTTTGATATAATAGTTAAGCTCTCTCTATGTTTCACATTCTCTCTTTACTTTCCCTTGAGTGGTATTAACCTACATTATTAAGTATTGGGCTTTCTGGTGTTCTTATATTCAAGTTAAGCTCTTCCACCTCTTGTTAATGTCTCTAGGTTTGATGCTTAGTATCAGTGCCCAGGTGTGTTGTCTTTGTACCTAATCCCATGTGAGGTTGTCTATTGGTTGGATCTTGTTGATATATATGTACGGGGTAGTGTTAACTATTGTTGTTATATGAAAAATATTAAGTCTTCCTCGTATTCATAGTTTGTTTTAGAATGCTTTATAATGTATTGATATGTTGTTCTTGCTGCCAAACAATTTGAGATTGTCATGTGTAGGCCCTTGTTGAATTACACTTGAGTAGAGTTAAGTGGTTTTATCTCACATCTATTAAGTATTGTTTTCCTTTTTTTTGTTGAGCTACTCTTGTTGGGGTGTGTTAATCGGTGTTATCTCTCATCTATTGAGTTTTGCGTTTCTTCTGATCTTATATTGAAGATGGGCCTGTGCATCTATTGTCAATTGGTTCTAGCTTAGATGCTTAACATGTATCAAGTTGTTATCAAGAAAAGGTTTCTGTTGTTTTTAGGATCACGCTTCTCTGGACCTAACCTGGGAAATCAGGCTCTAATTAAATTTGTTTTTATGTTTTCTTCTCCACTTACCGTCCCCCAAAAAGAAATATTAATAAAAAATCCCTCAGCATGGCTTTTGTATCTTTTTTTTGAGTTTCTTTGTCTCCCATCTTTTGTAACCAAGTTGCTGCTTTATGTAAAAGTTCGTACAGTTAAAGGTCCACAAAGTTCTCAAATTTACTAGTACTAGCCTGATATATAGATATTTAAGTCAAATTCTTTTTATCATTTATATTGGTGGAATAGGTACTTAAAATAAAGTAATGGCTTGTGTATGGACCATTTCTTCTCCTATAGGAAAAATTGAAAGAGAAAAAACCTTCCTTGACTGAGGCACTCACACAAACTCTTCAAGCAATGCACAAATCTGGGTGCTTAAGTCTGGCTGACATTGTTGAAGGCAAGTTTCTTATTTTAATCAGTAATTTTGCAAGTTGTCTTTATTGGGTAAACTAGTTTTTACTCTTTCTTACTTGCAATTAAACTACTTTCTGATTCGTTTTTTAATTTTATTTTGTGTTTGTTCCACTCTCGTGTAGCAGTTTTTTTTCTTTCTATTTACATCTGGTTATTTCTTTCAAAATCTAAGCTGGTTAGCAAACTGTTGTTCTGTGCTAGCTGTCAGTGTTAATATTTTTCAATGTGGTTTATTGCAGATGTTAAAATTGCAACTAAAAAACAAAGTTCCACTTGTTCGTTCATTAACTTTGTATTGGGTGACATTCTGTATCGAAACAAGTAACAAAGCTGTTGTTCTGAAGGTGCATAAGGATTATGTCCCAATCTGTATGGAGGTCAGTGCTCCTTTTATAATGCTAATTCCAAGTTAGAATATTTTAGGCCCGACTATTTTCAACTATCTTTGCTTGATGTCAGTCTGACTGTCCATGCTGCGTCCCTCCCCTTCCACACTAGTTGAAAATGGAAACCTTGAAATATGTAATCAAGGATAAAGGGAAAATTTTGAGAACATTTTGAATTGAATTCTGATATGTTGATGTACAGATTTAGAGTTATTAATTTTTAAATTTACGTATTCATCTCATTTACAAGTATGCTCTTATTAGCCTTTTCATTGGTTAATTATTGTTCTAACCGTTAGAATACTTTTCATTTGAATTGTAGTGTCTTAATGATGGGACCCCAGATGTCAGAGATGCAGCCTTTTCGGCGCTGACAGCTGTAGCTAAGGTAATATTTTCACTTATTATGGTATCATCTCTTTAATCCCCCAAGATTTATCCCTATATAAAGCTTCCCGTGCTTCCTCTTAGTCTGTCGGTATGAGGCCATTAGAGAGGTCATTGGAAAAACTTGACGATGTTAGAAAAAAGAAGCTTTCTGAAATGATTGTTGGATCTGGTTCTGTATCTGGTGCTACAAGTTCAGGTGTATTTTCTATGCTAACCATTGCAATTAATTTTGGATCAATTAGAACCCTTTTTGACTGGTTTAGTGTTTTTGTTTCTTACCATTATTATGATATTCCAGCTGCTGTAAAAAACTCGATGGGTGGTGTGTGTCTTCTACAGAGGTGAGTGCCCTGTTAAACCTAATGTTTTTTCCCGTTATGTTCTTCTGGTGGTTTGGATCAATTTTTTCCTTTCTATCCGACTAAATGATACATTCTTCCTTACATTATGTGGATCTGTAACCTTAGCAAGTAACAATTATGGTAGAAGCTATGAAAGAACCTAATTGGGCTTAGTAAATAGCAAAGATGTTAATCCTTGAATTGTATGCTGATCAAATATATATTCAAAAGCAAAATGAAGTTGTTGAGTTTGACACACGTGAAAAAGCAGTCTTTTGATTTTTTATGATTACACATGCATGATTGGAAGCTTAAAAACATCATTTTTTTTATTATGATTGCACATGGTAAACTTTGCAAAACGCCACTTTGAATGTACTGATGATGATATTTCTATACAAGTTCTTCATTTATTACAGTTCATACAAGGCATAACCATCTTTCCTTAAATCTTCATCGGTAAATTCGGTTTTATCATTCTACAAACAATGCCAAGTAAGTTAATTGCTATGAGAATGAACATCTTAATGTTAGTATAGACAAGTCAACCATATATTGAGAATGATCACCTTGTTGTTAGTATTTGGTAAGTTGATCTTATATGAAAATACACCATCGGGATTAAGATGCCGTTTTTTGTGTTTTATCATTTTTAATAGGATTGGTGATTATGATATTTGTTGACACTTCATTTCAGACAATTTTTATTGAACTTTTTAAATATTTTATTTTGTCTGTTGTCTTTTGTATCATGTTTAGAGAAGCACAAACTTATGAATTAGCTACTCCATGTAGGCTTCTGAAGGTTCATTTGTTAGGAAATCAGCTGCTAGCATGCTTAGTGGGAAGAAGCCTGTCTCTGCTGCTGTAAGATTTTATTTTTTCATTTTTATTAGAGAGCATTTTCATATAAATAATATCATCCAACCGTGAATGTTATTGAAGTATGTAATATTCCATAGCATCAAGGTTCTCTTATAAAAGTAGAGTCGTAGACTTAATTCCATGCAATAAAAGATTGAGATCTTATTTCTGTTTCTTTGCCAATAAGTTTCTTCTTATTTGGTAATCATTTTTTGTTTTTTTAACTCGTTTTTCTGAAGTCATGCTGATTGAAAACTTTAACTGTCTTTCAGCCTGCCAACAAGAAAGGGGCTTTAGTTAAGTCAGGTAACAATAAAAGGTAGATGGAGCTGGACGGATGGAAACAGAAAAATTGAGTGAAAAGCCTGAGGACATTGAGGTAAACTTATATGTTAAAGTTTCTTTATTGCTATTACTTTAATAGCTTGAAATGTCTTATTTTCTTTGATTTGTCTAATAATTACAGCCAGCAGAAATGAGTCTTGAAGAGATTGAAAGCAGATTAGGTTCCCTCATACAAGAAGATGTTATTTCTCAATTGAAGAGTGCTGTATGGAAAGAGCGTCTTGAAGGTTGGTTACTTTTTTGTAAGTTGCAAATTCATGTAGTCATGTAAAGTATATTTTACTTTGTATTGATAAATAGGGACCGTAGTAAAGGTTATATGGATTGGTAACTTTCAAATTCATGTAGTCATGCATAACATATATCTATACCTATGTATATGTATAAAAAATGCATATACATTTAGATCAATATATCATATGCTTACATGCATCAATAGATACATGTGTATAACAATTCAATATATGCAACTTTTTACAATTTGTTTTCATAAGCAAAAATTGAAAGTATGCTCCTATATTTTATTGTTAGAAGAGGTGTTGAACTAAATTAATTCAAGCAGCTAATGTCTTTTTTTCTTTGCCTTTAAATTATGCGTTGTTAGGCAGCCAACCTAAACTAATTGGCTATTTGTTGAGGGACTCAATTTGAATATAGACCATGAGAATCAAGACTTGGGATGTAGGATAATACCACTTTAACACTGCCCTTCCTAATAATTAGATGCGGGTAACATATCTTATTGTGTTTTTTCCTATTTTATTTACCATTAACTTGTTAGATCTTTCTTTCTTTTTTGTTCTTTATTTTATGGTTTGGTTATTTTTCTTTAAACAAGAGAAGAGAAATAATCCACTTTCCTTTTTAGATGAGACTCCTAATCTCATCCACAGAAACTATGTATTTTTTTGCCTTCAATTATGTCTTGTTATTGGCAGCCAACCTAAACTAATTGGCTATAGGTTGAGGGACTCAACTTGAATATAAGACCATGAGAATCAAGACTTGAGATGTAGGATAATACCACTTTAACTCTGCCACTAATGTGTGGGTCCCTATTAATTAGATGCGAGGTAACATATCATATCTTTTCTTGAGCTTTAATTTTCTTGATAGAGTTTCCTTAATTCTTTGAAATTCTTTAAAGTTGGCTCTTTGTAGTCAATTAGGATGCTAATCAATTAGTTAGATAATGTAATCGAAAAAAAGTTCTTTTATTTTTGTGTTTATTAATCATTCATAGCTAGAGTTTCTAATATTAGTTTCTTAGTACTAATATGGATGTATTATCCTCTACTTATTTCTTTTAACTTGGATGATATTGTTGCTTTATTAAATGAGAGTGTAGTACAAGTTATAAATGTTTTTTTTTACATTTTTATGGTATTTAACTTTAACTTGGATGATATTGTTGCTTTATTAAATGAGAGTGTCATACAAGTTATAAATGTTTTTTTTTACATTTTTATGGTATTTAACTTTTAGCGTTTATCTTCACATACGAGTTTATCTGTGTTCTTAACTTGATTACAACTTTATCACGCTTTTATTTTTTTGGTGATTATTCGATGTAGAAGATGCTTAACATATTTTCGTGTTAGGTAACAATTTTTGTATGCCAAGTACTAAAGTAATATTCAATAGATATTAGATAATCATTATTCTAAGTTTATTTGAAATAATGGTTTACATGTTACTGGCACGCTTAGTTGCATTTAATTTATATGTATGCACCTGCTACTTTTTAGTTCTCTGCTTAGGGTTCTATCACGAGTTCTGTTCATAGTGTTATCTCTGTCTAAAACTTTGTTCTCTTTTTTGTTAGAAATAGCGAGATGTTTTTGCCAGTTTAGATTATTTGATCACTTGAATTTTCTAATTGGGTACCCAAACCTCTCTGTTTGCAGCCATATCCTCACTGAAACAACAGGTTGAAGGTCTCCAGGACCTTGATCGCTCAGTGGAGATTTTGATTTATTTGCTTTGCACTCTTCCTGGTTGGAATGAGAAAAATGTTCAGGTATACGTTTTTTGTAGCTTGTGTTCTTTAGCCCATACCCTATCCACTTTTCACTTAGTATTGGGTGTCAAGACTTTTAAATTGAATGGTGCAGGTTCAACAACAAGTTATTGAAGTTATCACTTATCTAGCCTCCAGTGCTACGAAGTTTCCAAAGAAATGTGTTGTTCTTTGCCTTCTTGGTAAGTACAAGTTTTACTCGCATTTTCCAATAACATGCTTTTAGAGTTGGTTATGATTGTCTTCATATACAAGAGGATATGGAGACCTTCAACCTGTTGTTTAGGATACTCGCTCCATTGTAAGTATTAATTAGGCTCCGTTGTAAGTTTTAGTTGGGCTCTGTTGTAGTCCAGTTGGTTAGGATACTCGGCTCTCACCCGAGACCCGGATTCAAGTCCTAACAACGAAATTTTTAATTCATTTGCCAAAAAGTCGTGGGAGAGAGTAAGAGAGAGCGATAGTGAAGTCAAAAAATCAATTTTCCTTCGGTGAGGTATGTACAACGTTCGTGGATAATCTGAGCCGGAAAGTGTCAAGGAGTGCGTTAAGGAAGCTCTTTCAATATCATGGTCGGTTATCAGAATCTTCATCCCGAGAGTTTTAGAAAAACCAAAATACAAAGCCTCTACTTTTGCCTTTGTTCAGTTTGCTAATGAGAAGAGTGATAAATGCTATCGCGAAAGTTAACGGATCGTTGATTGATGGGAGGAAAGTATTAGTGGGGTGGCGAAGTACCAGAAACCTCGAAGAGGTACAGCCACATCAGGTGTAATTCAGTCAGAAAAGAAACAGTTAGATGAAAATTAAAAGGGGAAAACAGGGTTGGAAATGAGAATGGGGAATTTATGGGGGAGACATTCCCGAAAGAGACGGATTGGATGAAGTGCTCATTGACGGGGTCATATAGGTCTGTTGAGTTGGAACTAGTTCAGAAGGCTTTGCACAGTGATGGTATTGATGTGAAGTTGGTAAGCTGGGGTTATGCATAGAACTCATGTATTATCACTTTCAGTCGACCGAAGCATTATCGAAGGACATGGAATAGCAAGAAAGAGGAATTGTCCGTCTGGTTTGATTGGGTGGCACCTCTTCTAGATGAAAACGAAATTCTAATGGCGTACTGTTTGGTTGAACTGTATGGAGTTCCTTATTATGTTGGCAAGAGTCTTTCTTATAGAGGTTAGCTGAAAGATGGGATCGTTGGTATGTATATTGGAGTCAACAAAGAACAGCGTAGACATGTCAGTAACATGGTTGATGGTTAGAGTGGCAAGTCCTTTCGATGTTCTTAAGACTATCATGAGAGGGTCATATAGAAGATTTAAAGTCAGAATTAGACTGGGTTCGGTTTTTCAGAAGCCGAGTTATATTCGGGAGAAAGAATCAGATGGGGTTGCAGAGGATCAATGGATTGAGGAATCGTAGAAGGACCAAGATGATAGGAGGCTGACGGTGCTGGATGAGGGAGACAGAGAGTCGAATTATGAGTCCTGAAACAAGGTAGCCTCGTGGCTTGCAGATGGAAGGAGTATCTTGGAATATCAGGGGCCAAGGGAGAAAAGAGCAGTGAGGAGTATGATTTTAAGGAGGAAGCTAGTTGATGTGTTTCTGCAGGGGACAAAATTGGGATCTGTGAATCAGGCGTTACTAAGGAAATTGGGTGGAAGAAAATTAGAAGGTTTGGTATCGTCCCCTTCAGAAGGGGCAGCAGGAGGTTTAGTTAGTTAGTCTTTGGGATGAAAATTGGTTTGAGATGGAGCAACAATTTATTTTTAGATGGTTCATTCCAGTGAATCTTAAGGATAATGAAGAGGAATGTTGTTTTGTTAATGTGTATGGTCCTACAGTTGAATCAGAAAAGGAGAGCTTTTTTGAGGAACTTCTAAGTTTCTTAGAACATATGAATTGTTCTTTATGTGTGGTTTATGTGGGGGATTTTAACTCATATTTGTCCTCGGGGGAGAAGCAAGGGAAATAACAGAATATACATTTAATGAGACTATTAGGAGATTTTTTTTTTGATAGGAATTACAGGCCTCATTAAAAACCTCCTTCTTGATTAATGGATCTTTTGGGAAAGTTCCTTAATCAGATGAGGGAGGAAAAGAGTGCCTTAGGATTTTATTGATCAATGGCACAGAACATAAAATACAACCAGAAGACAAACCAACAAAACCATAAAATTTACAGAACACTTAAACAAAACCCCCTATACGACCAGACCTCTCATAAACAATAGCAAAACTATCACAGTTCCACAACCTCAATAAAACAAGACCCTACTGAAAACCCTCTAAGGAAATTATAAATATTCATCCAATTCCCTGTTTAGCTAAAGTGTCAACCTCACAATTGTTGCTCCTCGGAATAAGTTTTACAATGATCTCCCTCTCCAAGATTAGGGAAGCAATTTTTTGAACCAACGACCTAAGAAACCGAGGAGATGATGTCGACAGCAAAATCCAATCCACCACTGACTTACAATTACTCTCAATAATTAACCTTTCTTTCATCGCCCATTCCGACGAGAGAGAAGTCAATGCCTTTCTCAATGGCTTTCAGCTCGGCGAGTGGAGGAGGACCTGGACCAACAGCGTGCGAGAAAGACCCAAGAATTTTCCTTTCCGAGTATCTTAAAATGCCCCCAATTCCCCCCAGCAGCCCATCCCCACTAACTGCCCCATCAACGTTAACTTTAAAAAAATGAAGTGGAGGAGGAAGCCATCCCTGATCCTTCATCCTTTTAGGTTCCCTAGTCTGATGCTTGTCAGCAAGTGTAGGGTCCCTAACAAGAGAGTCAACCTGAATGATAACGTTCGGGTACTTAGCTAGGAACCATTTAACCAATCTAAATCTTCATATGAAGAAAAGAGAAGGTCTATCTAGTTTCCAATCATCAAAACCACCGAGTTTCTAGCCTTCCATAATGACCATATAACTACCCCCGGTATAAAGCTCCATATTATTGACTTTGGCCTTAAGTCCGACCATGAAGACAACAAAGAAACTGGATCTTTAGGCAAAACTGACGAGACTCCCCATAACCTCCAGAAACTGCTCCATAGGTCCATGCAACCAGACACGATATGAACAAATGTTGAACTGTTTCCTCCTGTTTCGCACAAAACGGACAAGAGACCTCCTCCAAAGTAACACCTCTTCTTATCAACTCCGTTCTAACTGCCAGTCTTTGATGAGAAACCTGCCAGAGAAAAGTTTCAACCCTAGCGGAGCCAAACCTGACCAAACGAACCTTTTCCAACTGAGGCTACCCCCTGAGTTGGAAGAAAGGGTCAACCTGCAAGCTTTAGCGGTGAACATCCATCTCCCTTCCCCGACCACGCCAGAAAATCATCCACCGAATCAGACAGACCAACATTCTCCAGTAATGACATCAATCGGATCCAGTAATCCATCTCTCAATCATAGAGACTTCTTCTCGTTTGAATGTTCCAAATCCATTTATTACTCATGAGACTGCCAAACTCTGAAACTTTTCCCCACTTGTTAGAAAGAGCATAAATCCTTGGAAATTGATTCTTTAAGGAATCCTCATTTAGCCACACATCATGCTAGAATACAATCGATTTTCCATTGCCTATTTGAATCTTCGAATGAGATCTCAAACCATTTCCAATTGCGTCCTCTGCCAAGTAGTTTTTTTGTAATACCCTTCCATATCCAAGAATCCGAAGGAGAGACTACCTTGTTGAGGTCTAAAGACAAGAATACTCACATTATGTTTACTGCAAATCATGTTCTTCCAAAGTGTCTTTTTCATTTGCGAACTTCCATACCCATTTACCTAGCAGCACTCTGTTAGCGAAATTCAAATACAGGATTCCCAAACCTCCCTCCTCCAAGGGTTGGCAACCCTTTTCCAGTTCACCCAGTCAATTAGGCATTTTGAAGACCCTTCCCCCCACAAAAGTTTGCCATAATAGAATTCAACTTCCTATAAACCTTACTCGGAATTCTGAAAATAGAGAGGAAGAAAATTGGCAAGGAGGATAAGACTGATTTAATCAACACTAATCTGCCCGCCATAGATAGTGTTGAAGCTTTCCATCCGGATATTTTTTGTTGAAACTTTGCATGACTGGCTCCCAAAGAGCCTCTGAGTTTCTTTTTGCACCTAATGGTAAACCTAAATACACTGTTGGAAGAACCCCAACGGCACAACCAGTCTACTTAGCCCATTCGTTTAATACCTCGTCATCCACATTAATTCCATGCAAATTACTCTTCGAAAAATTCAAATGGAGTCCAGTCATTATGCTAAGATCCTCAAGACTCTCTTAATATAAGAATGTAGGTAGATGAGTCTCGGAAAACAAAATCAGATCGTCAACAACTGTAAATGAGTTAGACTAAGGGAATCCGATCTTCCAAAAGCAAACCCTGAATAAGTCCCACATCCGCCGCTTTCATTAACATACGGTTTAACAGTTCCCCCACTAAATTAAACAAGAGAGGGGACAAACTACATCCTTGTCTCAACCCTTTGCCCATCGAGAACTCCTCTGTAGGAGAGCCATTCACTAATACCGATGTAGACGCCGTTGACAGGCAACATTTTATCCAGGAAACCCATCTCTCCCCAAAGCCCATGACTCTCAATAATCTAAAGATATGGCCATTCAACCGAGCCATACGCCCTCTGAAAATCAGCTTTGAAAACCACCCCTTTCAGCCCGTGCTTCCTCCAACAGTCTATACCTTCGTTTGCAATAAAAGCACAATCTAGAAGTTGTCTCGGAATAAATGCAAATTGTGAAGGGCTCACAATATCCTGAATCACTGAAACTAGTCTCCTCGCTAAAACTTTGGAGATGATTTTATAGAGAATGCCAACTAGACTTATAGGTCTATAATCTTCAATGCATTCTGGATTATTTTTCTTTGGGATCAGAGAAATGAATGCATGATCGACTCCATGGTCCCATTTTCTCCCATAATAAAATCCTCCATAAACTTCATAAGTTGCCCCTTATGGTTGGCCAGAATTTCTTGTAAAAAACCCATCGTGAAACCATCAGGGCCTGGAGCTTTCGAGCTGTCCGAAGAGAAAATAGCCTCCCTTACTTCCTCTGAAAACATAACCTCCAAGCCAGTCCTTTGCTCTCCTCCAATTTATCAAAATTTAGATTCAAATTCTCCACCTCTAAAAAATCTTTGGAATTATATGCTTTCTTGAAGAATTGGGAGACAAAGCTTTAATCGACTCAGGATCTGTCATCACCTCCCCGTCCACTTTCAATGCCGAAATAGTGTTGAATCTGTTTCTGTTTACAGCACAAAGGTGGAAGAACCTAGTGTTTCTGTCACCATCTTTGATCCATTTCTCTCTCGACAATTGAAACCAAATACTTTCTTCAATTCTGTGCATTTACCAGAGCTCTTTTCTGGATGAAAGGAGCTGTTCCCAGTCCAAAGTAGAAAGCCCACTGCCTTGCGCCTTAATTTCCAAGTCGTTTATTTTGCTCTCCAACCCTATAATAGCTTCAGATATCCCCTGTTTACTTCTGATTGGCCATTCCTTGATACATTTTTAGTTCCTTGTAGTAAGCTATATATTCCATTCCCCTCTAGCATTGACCCGATCTGACATTACATTTTGAACCATATCTACGAAACCATCTTCCTCCATCATATAGTTAAAAAACCGAAAGGGTTTAGGTCCCCAGTTATTCCCATCTTGTGCCAATAGAATCGGGTTGCGATCAGAAAGAGATCTAGGGAGCAATTTCTGAATCGACTTGGGGAAGCAACTTAAGAAGCTACTGCTCAATAAGAAACGATCAAGCCTTACCCAAGTAGTGATTTCTCTATTACTACCCCAAGTGAAAATGCCGCCTACCAAAGGGAGATCTATTAAATTCGATTGTTGCAGAAAATTCCTTAGCAGACCCATTGAATGCCAATTTTGAGAGGCACCAATCTTCTCCTCTTGTTCGAGATAAGCATTAAAATCTCCCTCAATGCAAACTGGCAGATCAACCGAGAGAACATAACTCAACAGCTGCCTGAAAAACTTCTCCTTTTCTTCCTCGACAGAAGGACCGTACACATTAATGAAAACACACTCCACTTTAGACACCTTGAACTTCCCTGTTAACACCTGAAATCTGCTGTGATTAGACACCTCGTTAACCTCATAAGCATTTTCATTCCACAAACACATCAATCCACCAGCAGACCCATCCGCTGGCTGGAAACTTGCACCCTTCAACAGCTTTCCTCCTAACTTCCTATTAAGACCCTTCTGGCTTTTACTCAGTTTTGTCTCCTGTAAAAGCAATACGATCGGTTTCATCTTATTTACAAGTCTCGACACTCTTATTTTTTCATTTCTTCCTAAGCCCCTAACATTCCACGAAATAAAATTGCACTCCGTCATAAACACTTCAAACCCAAACCTTCAAGAAACTGGCTCACTAACCAGTTTCATTGACCACCCCTCCTCCTTCCTCCATCTTTCTAATTTTATCCATAAAAGCCTCGCTCCCTTCCTTGAAAGAAATGCCTAAACTCTGATATACTTCCCAAGTATTCAATGCATCCTCAAGAGCATTAGAAAGGAACTAGAGTAGACTGTAGATACTTCTGCATTGGAGAACAACTGATTGGAGAACAACTGCTACTAATGTGGCCCATGGACGTGTTCTGAACTTGGGCAGAATCAGTGAAAACCTTGTCCTTACCCCTATCCCCTGAAGCTGAAGAAAATTGCTTAAAATTATGAAGTACCAGCCTATTCTGAATGTGCTTATGACTATTTTCTGCACATAGCCAAACTCTTCTTGTTTTCGACCTTCTGTACACCCTCACAAAACGTCCACAACCCCCCAAGCCATCAGAGGTCATAATACTTGACAAGCCTTTGGATACCTGATATCCCAATCTCCATCTCCTGCAACTCTTCACCATTGGATTGCTAATAACCTTCTTAGATTTATTTCCTTTGTCCCCTTATCCATATCCTCAAATCCTTGATGATTTCATTCGCCTCCTTCACCATGGTTTCACTATTTTCCTCATATGTTTCAGAAAGAGTTCGATCCTGAAAATTGCTTACATTATCCACAAGACGACACTGGGCTGAAGAAACATGCCCAACCTGCTCAGGCCCAACCTCCTCAGATCTACCCATTTTAGAATTAATCCACAGTCTTTTGACACCTTTATCTTGCCCCGAGGTGCCACCTTCCACGCTGAACACCCTTTTCCTCTCTCAGAAGGAACTTCTGACACTTTCTGCTTACTTTTAGCCTCACCTAGTACTGACCCCACGACACCATGGACAGTCCCTATAATATCATTGACTTCCACGTTAAAATTCAAATTACCATCAATCAGCGTGTCATCCCCTTGAGAAGCGTGCGACATCGACTGAAAATTCAACTGTCCTTGCCGATTTTCTCTATCGGTCCCTTTGTTCCCTTCCGATTGAGTTTCTTCCCCCGGGACGACTTGTCCTTCCACAGAACCAGCTTCTTCCACCCCATCTTCAAGCTCAGGAAAGAACTCATCACAACCTTCCACTTTAATCTTAATAATAAAGGATGTGCCATATGTATTAATGATTTCCTGGGACGGAATATCAAACGGGCTTTCTACTCTTAACAGCATATGAGCTACCCTGCAGTCCACTCTTTGAGCAGTTTGATCCTGAATCTTTACTAACTTGCCCCATCTCGCTGCCAAAGAAAAGAATGAAACTGACCAGCAATTTAGAGGAACACCCATCAAGGATACTGCACAGAAAGATAAAGGAACACCCTTCTCCTCCATGACAGGCTCCAGCCTTTCAAACCAAAAGGACAATGCCTCCCATTTGTCCTCCACCGCTGCGATTTTCTCTTCCACCGACTGAAAGACAATCAGACAGCATTTTTCGCAAAACCCCATCTTACCACCTTGACATTAAAGCCCTCCGTCCTTAAACCTCTTTGCACAAGCTCCACTTCGAAAATCTGCTTACATATACCACTTAGAGATGATCTTAACCAAGTTCTTTCTTCCGTTGGAATATGCACTTCCAAAGACTTCTTAACCCCTTAGTATCTCCACCGCTATTCCTCTGATGACCCTCCATACTATCTCTTCCCACTACCGAATCCTTATAAGATCTTCCATCATGAAATTTACTAAGCAACTCCTCCTCCTTGCCTCAGCATGGCCTATCGACCTCTTCCCACGCGGCTCCACTTCTCTGTCCGCTCCAGACCCCGCTCCAGAAACTAGCTCTCCGCCCCTCGGATAGCTTCTCCTCTGGTATTTTGCAATCGACACCATATTTTCCGTCCATCTACCACAACGTTATTCATCCTATCCTTGCATTGAACAGATCCTCCTTACTAGCAAAATGCACAAAGGCGAATGTATAATCCTTGTACTTTGGCCTCCTATTAAC